CTTGTCACCCACGTACTCGGTAAACACAGTGCTGTGCCTGGCTCGAGTACTGGCATGTAACCCTCCACTGTGCTTAGCAAGTGCCAGGCATTGTCTAAGAGCTTCACATATACCGTGTTTCCCCGAAAATCAAGACCACCCTAAAAATAAGCTGCCAGGACATTTCTAAGCATCTTGTGCAATAGAATGCCCAACCCGAAAATAAGCACCTAGTGACGGGCGTGGCTGCCGCGCGCATCTGCACCAACCCGTGCATTTCGTCCTCGGAGCGGTGAAGAAGACAGCAAAGCCTCTTCTCATCTCCCCACCGTGACAGCTACTATCCCCACAGGATGACTGGAAACGGTGCGGCAGCGCCACCAGCAAGTCGGCTCCCCCGTCAGGTCGCCCGGATCCTGTGCGCACTGCAAAGCTGAGGCCTTTGAGGGGAAAAGAACATCCCCTGAAAATAAGCCTAGGTGAGGAAAAGTCAAATACTAAGACCCTGTCTTGTTTTCGGGGAACACGGTACTCAGCACTAGTCTCATAGCTCTTAATGTAAGGATGGGAGATTGTTCCTCACTTCACGGGTGGGAAAATGAGGCAAAGAGAGATTAGTGACTTGCTCAAGGTCAAAGTGAGGAGCCCAGGGATTTGTATGCAGGTAATCTGGCTCCAGAAGTCCACACTCCTGAATCCTGAGCTATATTACTTCCTACAGAATCTAAAAGGACACGGTACCTATCTGGTAGAGTATGGTCACACACCACATCATATCAGTACTTACTGATAGCCATAACTGTATATACCAACATAACATATATGACATTTCTATTTCCAAACCATTGTTCTAGATGTGAGGGCCGAGTACACAGAGACACAGTTCTTTCCGTAGAAAAGAGTTATCATCCTGTAAGAGGCGAATGGATATACTATAACCGAAAAGAGACTATATTTCATTACACTATAACGAATTAAAATCCAACCTGGTCTGGTTTATAGCAAAGAAGATGAAACGAGAGGTCTTGGTTCTGTTTTCGTGGTCTGAGTGTGGTCATGTGGGTGTGTCACTCTTAAAAATTGATGAAGCTGTACACCCTACGATTTGTAACCCTTTTCTCATATGTGTCAAATAAATGACATTTTAACACTTTAAGAGAAGCAACCCACACTCTAGAAGCTCACCGGCTTGTAGCAAAGAATGGAGGAGTGAGTGGCTTTGCGTCCTGCCCAGTGTCTAACGGTCACGTGGCAGTGCCACTGTGCTGTCTGTGAGCCAGCTTGCCCCACGCCGTGGCTGTCCAAAAGTTCATTTTTCTGTTTTTTTTTTTTTTTTTGGAGACAGAGTCTCGCTTTGTTGCCCAGGCTAGAGTGAGTGCCCGTGGGTCAGCCTAGCTCAGCAACCTCAACATCCTGGGCCTCAAAGCGATCCCTTCCTGTCTCAGCTCCAAAGTACTGGACTAACAGCATGCGCCACATGCCCGGCT